ATTCTTACAAACAGCTGATTGTGTAAAGAGGGAACAGTAAGTAAGACAACACCGGGTGGGGGGGGGGGGGGTGGCAGGAAGACAGAGAAAGGGAAAGAGCAGGAGGACAGACGATGTTAAAATAAGTTCAAGAGTGTGTGACAGAGAGATACAGACAGAAAGAGAAGGAGAAATCGTTTTGAAAGCTGAGACCAGGCATGGGAAATGCAGCGAGAGAAAAAAGAGAGGGAAAAAAAGCGATGGCAATAAAGCAAGTGATAGCGCGACACGGGGGGAAACATTTGTTTAAATTCCCGCCTGAGGTGTCATACGGATGTAAATGTTGCGGTCGGCTCCTCGGAGGCAAAATGCCCTGGGCGCCTTATCTAAAAGGCACATTCCGCTCAACTATTTTGATATGCCCTTCCATTCCCTCAGAGAACAATTTCAAAGATAGCTCGCATTTCCGTGCAAATAGACCCACTCCTGAGTGACAGGCGGGCAGTTCTTAGCAGTCACAAGGTGGTGGGGGAAAAAAAACCCCACAAATGTCACTTTGACTCTTGACAGCACTTTGGAATTAGCTGCCGTGCTTATTTTTACTGTAGACGATGGATTGGACTGACTGTGCAGCGTGTTTGTGTAGTGGCTGAAATAATGGGTTGTAATTTAAAGATAGGCTGAGCACATACATGCACACACATGCATACGCAGAAGCGCACACACTTTACTGTGGAATTCTCCAGAGGAGGCTCCCACGCTCCCTGAAAGCTTGTTCTGAGTAGAGGAGTTAACAAGAGCAGTTAGCACCATGATAATGTTAGCAGCCAGACACACAGAGCGAGAGAGCCGGGCGTGTGTGTGTGTGCACAAGTGTGTGTGTGATAGCCTGTGACATTTCTGCGATGGCTGCTTTGTCTTTCCCTCACTCTTCAGTGAAGCTGAAACAAATCTTTGCCCCCATTTTGCTTAATTCATTTAATTTGTGTGTGTGTATGTGTGTGTGTGTGTGTGTGTGTGTGTGTGTGTGTGTGTGTGTGTGGTTTTTGAAGGGTTTTGCATATGTGAGCAGCCTCGCTTGCGTGTTCATAAGCCTGCTGCCTGTATTTAAACATGCTTGCGTGTGCGTAAACTCGCCGCTGCTGACGTGCCAACATGAAATGGACGCGATGATCACAGTAAGCGAAGGCCAGGAGACGGTTAACCACCGCTGATGCCGATTATTCGGCCCGTTAATGGACGTACGACGCTGTCCGATTAGTGACTTAGCAGCAGTGGACATATGTGATATGAGAGGGACTTAACTGAGGAGCCGCTAATCATCAAAAAGCCAAGGGGAAGTGGCGCTCTAATCTCAGCTTAGCGCTCTCACCGTGTGCACACTTGTGTGTATGTGCGTGGTTCCAAGGGAAATGAGAGTGTAGGGGGTAGAAGGGACAAGCAGCAGATTGGAGTTAACTTATAAATTTGATTTGTAAATCAAAAAAACACATTGCAATATTGTTGCACTGGTGTTAGGCCATTTGAAATATCATTACTGTGCTGCTATGTGGAAAAACCAAGCAGCATGTGTGTATGTGTGTATTAAGTGTGTTAATGACTGTGTTTGGCGTGAGGTGTTCGATTTTTTGGTATTGTTGGACGGTGCAAAATTATGCTAATATTCTCTAATTACGACCTGGACGACGCTGCCAATTTGTCGACTGAATAAAACCTCATCTTTTTTAATCCTCTTCATCGCTCCGCGCTTTCAAGCAGCTTCCTCCAGGTCTCCTCCAGGTCTCCGCCGGCATGACAGCCCTGCCAAACTTTAAATGAAGTAGCCGGCGTAACCTGCACACCCGCCGTGCCCAATTGTATAGTAATTCGACTTCAAAGGCGGACGGGAAGGAGAGAGAGGGATTTTATAGCCGGAGAGGAGCTGTGAACGGCCTCCCCATTCATAGACACCCGCCTCTGAGGAAGTAGTAGCAGACTTTGGGAGGGGGTGGACGGGTGTGAAGAGGAGTGGAGGGAGAAGAAGAAGAGGAGAAAAGGCATGATGAAATTAGTTGGTTATTCTTTCGAAGGGTGGAGTGCTCTCTTTGGCCCGCAGAGTTTTTGGATATCTCGTTTTCTGGGTTAATGTGTAACTGTCCACCTCGCTCTGCCAGTGTGGCTACTGTGGTTAAATTGTGGATGATAAAATTGTAAAAACAAAACTTAAACTCCTCGCATGCGAAGATGTTTCTGTGGCTAAGGCAAACATTAGCGAGGTGAGAGAGATTCAAAGCTGACCCCCGGGTCTGTGTAGAGGGTTATGGCTAGGCAGAGGTGTGCACAGAACACAAGGGGATGTGTGTGTGTGTGTGTGTGTGTGTGTGTGTGTGTGTGTGTGTGTGTGTGTGTGTGTGTGTGTGTGTGTGTGTGTGTGTGTGTGTGTGTGTGTGTGTGTGTGTGTGTGTGTGTGTGTCTGAAACAAAAGGCCTCAGTGTGAGAGAGTGAAAGGAGGTAAAGTAAACAGGCAGTGATGAAGACAGACCTGCAGTGTTAGGGCCTCTGTTCTATGTATGCGCACATATGTGTGTCTGTGTGTGTGTGCCGCGTGGCTCAAAGCCCTGTAGTTTGTACAGCTGGGCCTGCCGCTCGCATTAGATGGTGTGTGTGGAACAACGCACACACAGACTCATGGACACACACATACATCTTTCTTCTCAGTCATTCTAAGCATCATAAAACTTATCACAAGTCAATTTCAGTTTTGATATCAATTGGATTTAACGACAGCAGTGCACAGTTTTATCTTCTAAGTCTTTTGTCATCAAAACACATACAAAGTCTTTACTGATCGTTTATGCCCTCAGCTTTTGCTGAGCAAGCCCACGAAGATAGTGTCCAGGAGAAACAGATAAAGAAATCAGCTGCAGATACACATTCCTGTCTATGCATGTGTGTGTTTGTGCAGTTGTCTTCTGTACACGTTGTCCTACAGGAAAACTCTAACTTGTTCAGCACTATTGTAACATAGAGTGTGATTAAATGAATCTAACCTTGACAACAGTGTACAAAAAAGTCATTAAAAATGGGAGACTGTAGTCTGGCACACCTTAATTTAACAGTCAACAGAGTACATTTCTGTAGTGGTGATTTAGTAATTTTCTGATTTAACTTTCAATGAAGTATTACACGGTGAAATTGTGCATCGGTTAAAAGCCCTGCGGAGTCCATTGAAACTCAAAAACGCATGCGAAGAAAAAATTGCTTTTCTCTGTTCCTGAAAACTTGACATTTTGGAGATAAAAAGGTTCTCAGCAATATGCAAATGGTAACACCAATTTGTAAATTGCTTTCAATTATTAGATTATCTATGAGGTCTATGAATCTTGGAGGCAAAAATCTTCCAAAAACAATTAAAGGTAATTAGATTACACCACTAGGGTGGAGAGCAGGTTTTTTTATGGTATTACTTGAGTGGAGTTTATTTGATTTTGACCGTAACCTTCCTCGCGATGTGATAACGCCACATGTTGTGTTTCTTAGCATGGCGCTTCCCTCATCCCCTCCAGTGAGCAGCAGTCAATATTGTTTGCCTTTCCACTGTCATAAGGTAAATAAGCAATGAATTAGTGGCAGTGGCTGCTCCTAGGAACAATGCCAGATGTACAGTCCAGAGGAAATCCAATAGAGTCAAGAGTGTAATCAGTTTACCGGAGACAAGCAGCGAGAGAGGGAAAGAATTTAAGAGAGAAAGGCCGGAGAGGAAGACAGAGCAAATCAGAGACAGACTAGGTATGGATGGAGAATCAAGACTTGAGGATGTAGTTCTGTAAAAAGAAAGCGAGTGAAAAGAAAGAAAAGCTTGTTGAGGAGAAAGGGAAAGAAAGAATCAGCAGGCTCTGAGAGTCAGACGCCTGTTGCTTATTTCTTGCTTCTCACCGCTTACCATCACACACACCCCCCCTCCCCTCAAGTTTTCACAGTCCCTCCATCCCTCCATCCACACCTCCATCCCTCCATCCCTGTCATGCGTTGCCTCTGTGCGACTGAGCGTTAGCAGCCTATTACCCGGGGTCATAGTCGCAGTGGCTTCAAGGCTGACAAGTGCATCTGAAAGCACTCAGGCGATGCTGAGAACCACATTAAATTCTATTATTGCCGCATAGTCACTGCATCCCTATTCAGCTGAAGTACAGGGAGGCAAATTTACCTTGTGAGAGACAGAGTTCACCTAATAGATGTGGCTTTATATCCTTTCCTTCTTTTCAAGGGAACAAAGCCACAGTAACAAATGCAAACAGCGGGGCCCCCGTGTTGCTAGCTATTTTCCTCCAGTTCCTCTATTGTCCAAAGGTTTTCATAAACACATATTATTGCCACTGTGCATACTGCTCTCACTCTCTGTCTCACTTTTTTTCCTTTCCTCTTTCCCACTCTGTGTCTCTCTCTGAAAGCCCATTGTCAAGACATGGTCATTTCCTCCACAATGCTAGTGCAAGCGGGCTCCATTTGCAGTAATGGCCCCGTCTTTTGGAAATGTGAACGTTGAATGGCCCCCATGGTAAACATACTGTAAGTCCTCAGAGTGTGTTTGAAGGTCTGCCAAGGAGCTGGGTGCTCACAAACCGACTGAAGGGATATTGTGTGGAGTTGCACTGCGAGAGCTCTGTCCACTGAATGTGCTGAAAGTGCAACAACAAAAAAAACTAATCCAAAGCAAAGGGAAGAAAGAGAATTGGTGCAGGTTGATGGCCTGAATGAGATATAGTGAATACCTGCTGAAAGGACTTAAAGATTACTTTGTGCAAGCTTTTTTTTTTTTTTTTTACAGTAAACACACAGCAAATTGGGTAAAGTAAGTAAGTTGGATCAAACTATCCAGGAGTTTCCAGGAACTAGTTGTATCCGCAGGAACCCTCCACACTCTCTGTTGCCACCATCATATAACTCCAGTCGTCAACCCATTATATCATCCTTTGAATATTGCTCACTCTTCCTCCCTTCTCTCTCTGTCTTTCTATCTCCCTTCTCCCTTTTTTTTCCAGGATGTCTTCCAAGCGACCAGCCTCTCCATATGGGGGGACAGATGGAGAGATAACCATGGCAACCAGCAGACAGCGAATGGAGGATGAGGATAGCGAGGGACTGGGCGGTGTCATCCACCTCCCCCTGGCCTCCTACTGCGGCAAGGTGTCCCCTCGCTCACCCCCCAACCGCAACTTGGACAGCCCCCCCAACATGGTAAGGCCGGCTACTGATTTTTGCATCCGATGTTGCTTTTCTGTTTCTCAGGGTGAAAGCACCCACCTATTGGTGACAGCGAACTTGAGCGCTGACTCAGGATCACGCTGTTAAACAGGTGCAACATTCTGAAGATGTTTCCAACTGGTATGACCCACAGTGTGTGTAAGTGCTTCAGGTTTTGCTTCTAAACCCACCAGAGTAGTCACATTACTTTTGTCACATTTGGAAAACTGTTGAAAACTTAAAAAAAAAGTTTCATTGTTTTTATATGTATAAAAAAGACATCAGTTAACAGTAGGTACAATCTCCAAGTACATTTTTTTCCATTTCCATTAGTCTTTCTTAACCCAGATTGGCACAATTTGCATCAAAAATCTTTCTCTGAGTCATAGCTTTGTCACATCTGAACACACTATGATACGCATATTTTTAGACTCAGGATGATTTATCATTATATAAGATATATCAGATGATATTATATATACAATGATAGAATTATCTCCAATGTTAATCAAGAATAAATTTCCATAAATGTGCTTAGAAATCATAGAAAAAAGACACTTCAGAACGAACTTGAGATTGATTCTGTTTTTAGGTTTTCTATGGTATCAAGTAATCCACTGGTAGTTCTCTGTACATCCATGGGTACACCTCAATCACAGGCTAGTAATAGTCATTTCGGCACACTTTTAATGGTGCCAAATGTAAACAAATACATCCCCCAAAGCATTATGGGAAATACAGTTTCAAAGCATGATTATGCCCCAAATACAATAAACATGTTGTTCCATCAGTTTGTTTCTTTAACATTACTAAGGCTCAGAATCAACATGGTCCTTTATTACTGAAACAAAAACATTCTCTTCTATCCATTATTGTACAGACACTGATACCCCTCACCTAGAAACGTCCCCATAAACACTGTCCTAAAACATGTATTGTACAACTCACATCCAAATTGATGCCGGTTATTTCAGTTTCCCAACCTATTCTGAAAATAAAAACATATGTGACATGTGGTAACTGATAAAAGCTAAATGAAGAGAGAAAACTGAGCAAAAAGGTCTAGAGTTTAAGTTACCTGTCTGCATGTTTGGCTTTTTCTCAACTCTGCAGCCCATAAGGGGCGTATGACTGTGTGTGTTTTTCGAGGCTCAGGGTTGAAAGTGACCCCTAGGACACAGACCCCAGATCAGATTATGTTCACGATTATCCTGACTTCCAGTCTTACAGAGGGATAGTCGGCACTGAGTGGTCTTTAATACAAGCTCCCTAAATGAGTTGGAAAAAGCAAGCAGAGCCTGTGTGGCAATCCATGACAACCTCTGCTAAAAAATGTTTTTATGTCTGTGGATGAATTCAGCTAGAAATTTACTTCATTGACCTTGTTTATTTATTATCTTCTGAAATGGGTGTAGGCACAAGGTAATTTCAGGAATGAAACATTGAAAATAATTACAATTGTGTTGCTTTTATGAAATTTCCAGTAATTTCTAGACAAGTAAACTGCTATGTTTTTGCATTTTGAAAACAAATGAATGTTATACAGTCTGTACAATGTCACAACAATGACAAAACTAAATATATGGATATTTGTTTGGTGTTTCGCAATAGAGATGAAAAGAGTGAGAACAGGCAGAAATCGACTTTCTCTGCGAGTGAAAAACAGTTTGGTGCTGGAAGCTGGAGGTTTTGTTTTGTCCCAAAATGGGAAAAAAATGAAGGTACAAGGCTACTGTTTGGTTGCACACGTGTTTTTGCTTTTATGTGCGCGCCACCAACCGTCGCCTTGAGCCCATTTGATGCACAGTTGCGTGACTGCAAAATGTGAGCCATTGCAGTGAGTCATTTTCTTCAGGATGAAGTGTGACATTGTGTGGTGGTGCTGTATGTATGGCTCTGTATGTCTAAGTGCATTTGTGTGTGTGTGTGTGTGTGTGTGTGTGTGTGTGTGTGTGTGTGTGTGTGTGTGTGTGTGATTTGAATTGCATCTCCTGTGTGATTCATGTTAAATATTAGTGTAGGCCTCGCAGAATACGGGCTCATTGTAAACTTCTGTTAGTTGATGCGCATGTGTGCGTTTTTAGTACACAGCTATGTGTGTGTGTTTTAAGATGACTCTGTTTTCCTGCATGTGACTCATTCCACATTCTATACATGTGGTGTGATTTGCAATGCATTCTCAGTACATAAGTGTGATTATGTGACTGTATAAGGTATTATGTGTTGCTGGTATGCATTATTTAGTTTTTTTAAATCACACTTGCCACATCAAAATGTTGACTCTCCACCATGAGGAACATGTTATTAACATTTTCGAGACATTTTTGGTTAAAGGATTTTGTTTTCTGTAAAACTTAAATGACTCTGATGTGTTTGTTTGCGGATAGAGTGTGTAAGCCAGGACAGAATGCACTGTCTTACCTTCTCCTGGGCCCTCACCTTGATACACACCTTGTCACAGCGGCGCTCTGATAACGATCGTCGACCTTTCCCCCATACTGGCGATAAACGCTCTCAAGCTGTAAAACAATGAAACAGTGCTTAGGAGCTGTAATGGAAAGCTAATTCTGTAATTAGCTCGCTGATTAGCCTGCAGGCCCCTCCCGCCGTGGACTCATGTGTGGCAGGTGCCGACCGTAAACCAAAGTCCTGGGACCACACAGGCGTGCAAACACTCACACACACACACACACACACACACACACACACACTGTCTGGGTTATCTGTTGCTGTTGAGAACAGTGATTAGATTGTTGCTAGTTCATTTAGATAGATCAATAGATTTTACACTATAAAAATTACAAGATCTGTCTCCAACATTATAATATTAATAATATAATAGTTTATTGGGTTATTATGAAGGGCCCCCTAAAATTCTTAAATGTTTTCAAAATGAAACACAGCACTGCTTTCTAGTCCACTGATTGACAGCAGAAGCAGTGTTAATGTGTGTGTTTGTGTGTGTTGGGGGGTCTCATACACAGCATAATAGCTGATGTGGCTTATTAAGTGGCAAGCTTGGATGTGTGTGTCTAGCGGGTGGGATGGGGGCTTATCCAGCTGCCTGCTTGGCATGTTGTAAGATGTGTGGTTTTTTTTTTCTCAAGGGGTGAAGGGGGGGGTTACAGCGCCAATCCCTTTTGCCGCTGACTGTCAGTGAAGAGTGGATGGAGGGAGAAATGGAGAGGGAGAAGGAGATTTACAACAAGGCGAGGGGGGGTGTTGGTGGAACTTTAAGGGAGTGGGGTGGGGGTCTATGTCTCAGGGCAATTGTCGTAAAGTGATAGGGGGAAGTAAATGGCTCATGGGCGACCAGTTGACTTGTAAGTTTGGCAGCAGGGGAGAGGGGGGAGTTGGGGGGGGGAGATTACAGCTTTATCTTGTCATAGTAAATTAACACGGCAGCAGAGAAGCGCTCGGCTACACACTGACCTCTTCATCCCGCCTGCCTGCTCGGCTTTGGCCCGGCCGCTTTACCTGACTGCTGCAGCTGCACAGCTACACACAGAGAAATAAAAACAGCACTCACACATGTTTTAAAAAGCTGAAAGGTGCCAGATTATTCACTTTTTAAAAAATTTGTTTTTGTACAAACCCTGGCTCTAGATACGAATAGCGCTGTTCATAATGGCTTGCAAATGAATGTAGTTTAGCTAAAAGGGTGTTTTATTGAATGTGAAGTTCTCACCGTGCTGGTGGACCCTGATTGGCTGAGTGCAGCTCAGTTCAAATGCCTGATGGGAAGGATTTTAGCGGTAGTTCAGTGAGGTCAGCCAATCAACACAGCATCCAGTCTTGATGCTCATGAAGTTATTAAAGGAAGGATTTTAAACATCATTCCTCAGTAAACAACCAAAATGATGAATTATCATAACAGGATACCTTTAAGTGCATAGTGAAAGTACAGATTTAATACCTTCCCTTCTTGCTTGCTTTCTTGTAGGTCTTTTCATGTTTGTGTTTTGCAAATCCTTGCAGAAAAAAAATGTTTTCACATCAGGCAGAGGCAAGCATCTTCTCTCATAAATGTGTTAATGGACAAACACTAATTATTTCATTAACAGGCGAGATGCATGCTAACACGATAGAAAACTATAAAGATTTTTCATCAGGCATTATTTCTTATTCATTTTCATCCACAAGCCCTCTCTCTCCTTCTTTTTTGTGTAATTTGTATGTGTGATTATGTGTGTGTGTGTGTGTGTTCATGTGAATTTGACAGATTTAACACAGTCATTGAGCAGTCTTGAGACACAGTGGTCACACTTAATTTCTCATGCCAGTGATGCACTAATGAATCAACACACGCTTGCCTGTCAACAGCAAGGGGTCGTGGTAAAATATACTGGCATACATTTTAGCCAAACTGCTATTTAAAATACAGAAAATACAGCTGCATGTTTTTACGTATGGAAAAGTCAAATGTGTAATTCTTGGGAGAAAGAAGAACAACAAATTTTACTTAACTACTTAAAAAGTCTTTTTAAGTAGTTAAGTAAAATTTGTCAAATAGTTTAATGGCAGATTCTTTATATTGTTTTTAATAACCACTGATATTAATATACTAAAATAGTTGGGGGTTTGCATGGAAAAGCTCATCCATATTGTTGGAACAGGAGGATAAAAGTAATGTGTGTGTTTGTGTGTGTGTGCGCTCCCTTGTCCCAGCCTGAGGGACCTCGAAGTCAAAACTGACAGTGTCTGTGTTTAGCCATGGCATGTAAAGGGATTTGCCGCATGTGTGTGTGCGTGTGTGTGTGTGTTTGGCAGTGTGTCGGAGGTGTGTTAAGTGTATGTCGCGCAGATTGGCAGCTCTGGCGGAGAGCTAAGTCTTACCCCCCTGCAGGAGTGATCAGTGACATTCTCATGGTGTGTATCTGTGTGTATTTTAGTTGAGCAGCTGTTTCCAGTTCTTCCTACTGCCACATTGTCCATGCCTTGATCTACAGCGACGTGCCAAACATCCAATATTGTTTTTCACACAAACACCTTGCACAGCCCGAGACATGTCAGGCTACGGTAGAGGGAGGGAGAGAGGGAAAGAAAGAGAGAGAGGGTTGCTTCTGTCGGGCAACAGAGAAGGAGGAAGGGAAGAAGACGAAGAAGAAATCAAAAAAGAACATGAACAGCGGCATCTGTGCTGGCTGTAGGAAAAAAAATAGCATTTGGATTTTTTTCCCTCTTTTTCTGGCAAGAGTTATGTGTTTTTAAACCAACCTCCCCTCACAGATGAGCTTAAGAAGACAAAAGTTGTTTAATTCGGTTCCATTGCAGAGGCAGTAAAAGGATAAAGAGAGTGAGGCGCAATTTTTACTTTGTTCCAGTCATTTTGGAAGAGAATTGACATCTGCAAACTAAAGGCAGAACCGCCCACACTGCCAGCCTGCCACATCCAGTGCATATAAATACATATATGCAGGCACTCACACATTAACACACACACACCTACAGGCTATGTGCACTCACAGTGTCACACATATATGCACAGAAATGGCAAAAAACCTGCTCACACACATGCACCGAGAGGAGGGCATGAACGTTTACAGTATCCAGAATTTCTGTTTGTACTCATGAATAAATGCATGTTGATGAGAAAAGTTTTGCAACCCCGCGCTCTTGCAGGAACATGTTGCCACACACACGCGCGCCGAGCTGAGTGGCACTCGTTCACAATAGAGAATCTGTCTTGTGTCTTGTCTTTTTGATCCCTCTGTCTTGGACTTTTGCAAATCGCCAGGGTAAAAAATGTCAGCAGGGCACATGGATTATATTCTGGTTGAAAAAATCCTAAGCCATTTAAGTTGCCTTCAGGATAAGGCTGTCTGTCTGACATAAATAATGTCAGGGGCCCTAATTTACGAGGTCTTTGAAGAAGCCACAGCTCCCTGCTAATTCCCTTTGATTGGGAAATGACCTTCATTGTTGGACGCAGTGAGATGACATCTCCCTGGCAGATTTTTCGACAGGGCGAAGAGATCCGACAACCCCCCCGACTCCACCCCCCACTCTCTCCCTCCATCTACCTCCCCGTATTCTTGTTCTATTTGTTTTGTTTGCGCGACATCTTTCTCAAAGAAAGAGTGCGGCTGTTTTAAGTAGGCGCTGGATTAGATAAATGGGATGTGACAGGTGTGACCGCTGCCTTCAAGATGCCTGCCTTCCTCGCTCTCTCTCTCTCTCTTTCTCCACATATCTCTCCGTCAACCCTCTCTCTCTGATTTCCTCTAATAACATCGCCTCTCTCTCCTTCGCTCATTTGCCTTTCGCTCCTTCTGTGTTTCTTTGACTTCTACCCACTTGCACTCCTCTCTCTCCCTCTGTCTCGTTACATTTGCATGCCGTGCCGGTGCTGATGCAACTCGTAATCACAAAGCCGCTCATTTGAAGTCTGAATTTCCCTAATCTGAAGAACGGGAGAGGGTGAGGGATGAAATGAAGCAACAAAGAAAGACAGGAGCGGGTCGAGCCATCACTTGGTCAGGTGGTAAGAGGAGAAGAGTAAAGTCTTTCAGCACTTTAAGATCACAAGACAGTTTCCCCAGCGCAGCACAGCCCTCAGCCAGTGTGTTAGAAACCCCAGCAGCGACTGATTGAAGCCTCGTAACCTCATCATATATATACGGCTGTTACAGCCATATCATCGCTGTCACACTCTGTCCCTGCGTTACAATGCACGTGCAGGAACACCCAAGAGAGAATTAGTGAATTATTGAGCGTGCTGACTTATTCAAAATGTGGAAACACACAGAGCCAAAGAGAGAGAGAGTCAGTGAAGTGTAGAAAACAGAAAGTGATTATGGTCTGCTGTACCTCTCATACAGTGTTTGGCCACTGACAATGAAAGCATCGTCAATATTGAAAACCTCTGCCTGGATTTGTTCTCTCAGAGGAACATAGAGAAATGATTTCAGACCTTGTCTTGAGTTTTTTCTCTTCTGCTCAAATGGATGCCTATATTAAAATGCCTATAGGATAGAAAAGAACAGAATCTGGGGTCATCCGGGGTCTGTATGACATCATCATGGACTGTGATCTCAGTATTAAGTTCCACTTCCACCAGCAGCCTGCGAGTTAATGATTAGAAAACTATCTCCGCCTTAATACACCATAATGTCATTAATGCAGCTGGAATCTCTCTCTGTTTCTCTCTGTGTCACATGCACACCCACACACAGACAAACAGAGGTACTGTATGTGTGTCACTGTCCCAGGTGGCATGCTCCATATTGTAGTGAGATTAGCCAAAGATTAACCCTGTGGACCATTGACCCTCCTGTCGACAAAGAGCTGAGCTGACAGACTGACTGACTCACTTGTTTCTGTAATTAAAGAGCATAACACACACCTCAAGACACCTGTGCGCGTATGTCGGAGGATAATGTATGTGCCATGCGTATCTGTCAATTCAGATGAATGCATGTACACTGTATGTACGTTCATCTATACATGTATGTGTGATAAAGAGATGCATGTTCTCCCTTGAAGCTGACGCCGTCCTCCCTCTCAGTGTCACTGTTAATTGGGCTTAGGCGTCATTAAGTCTATCATGCGGACTAGCCAAACAAACACAGGTTTTATTGGGTCAAAGATTAAGACACTACAAGTTACTTACCGTTTAGCTGCTGTTGTCAGGTTTTTTCCTTCTTGTTTATTCACCTGACTTTATCAAAATTATCAGTTCAAAGACAATAATAACTTAAAGGACTCTACCAAACAAATTTTCCAGACATTTAAGGATCCTAATAATTTGCGACTGATATTTTTTTCTAAAATAAAATCAAAAATTGATTGATTGCTTTGCAATAATTGTATTATTAATACTTGTATTAATGTGCGCTGGACGTTTAAATTTTCCACATTGCTCTGTGATGCCACTAAATAATGCTCGTATTTACACACCTTAAACCTACAGCACGGCAACGAGAAACTTCAGATCAAACAAGTTCAAACAACCTAGTAAAGGGGGAGGGGCCTTTAATGAACCAAAAACACCAAAGAAATCTTATTTGTGTTACAAAAGTACAGTTTTCACAATAAGAAATTTACATTTTGTGTACTTATAAGAGGATTATGATTTTCTGAGGTCCAAATCTTAACGTGTTAAAGACTAAACTTTAGACTTAAGACAGTAGGATAATTATTCATCATGACAGCTTGGCAAAAGGCACAGAGCCTTACTGTGAGCTGTATATATTATATTTTGTTGCTGTCGTGTTGATTGTTGTTTTGTCAGTCCTTTCATGAATTTATGGAAATGATTTGACAACGCTCCAAAGCTTTGTTTTTTGCAAAGGGATCTATTTTTTTGTGATTTGATGGAGTTGCATCCTCAGCATTAATTGTCACGAATCCTTGGACAAAAGTAGTGCAGCGCTGAAACTTGGGCTTGAGATTTGGTACAGTATCGCTGGACGTCCCTCAAAGCCGAGCTGTTGAAGGCTTTGTAATGAAGAGTTAGTGTGACTCTAAGAGTGTGCGGAGTCTTTTGCGGTTGTTTCATGTGCTCGTTCTGTCAAGTACCTCCAAGTCAGTCAAATGCAGATTCCAGAGGATGTGGGAGAGAAGAAGAAGAAGTATGCCCTAACTTGAGATAACTGGCCAGGGATGACAGTTGGTCGCATTGAGTTATGAGAAAGGGAGATGGAGAGAAGGATGGAGATAATGAGTGGGTCTATGCCAGCTCCTCCCCCACCTCCTCCTCCCTTTTTTCTTCCATAGTTTGTTAATTTTTTAAATCTAATAATCTCTTCCTTTTCCTCTCCTCCTTTCCTCCAGGAGCAAGACATCACTAAGGGGAGCTCTCTGAGCCCTTACCCCCAGCACAATGCTACCTCACCGGGCAAAGAGGAAGGCGGAGGCGGGGGGCGGCCCTGCAGTGACGGGGGCTCGGCCACGGGTACCCTCGGGACCCCTGAGAGACGCAAGGGCAGCCTGGCAGACGTGGTGGACACACTGAAACAACGCAAGATGGAGGAGCTGATCAAGAACGAGCCAGAAGGTCAGTGATGAAAGGGGACGCTTGTGCGGCCAGATGTGTGATCTGCAACTCCTCGCCATATCTCTGGCTGTGTGCCGCTCTTTTATCACACTCTGTTGTCCTTTCTCTCTTCTTCTTCTGTCTTTCTGTCTTGTTTTCTCTACGTCTCTCTCTCTCTCTCTCTCTCTCTCTCTCCCTCTCTCTCTGTTATGAACCCATACACATTCAGATGAGAGGCAAGCCTTTGTTTTTCCAGCTCACAGACAGACAGCATCAGCTGTTTGGGCCTATTGTCCACCATGCTTTGCATATTTATCACAACCTGACAAATAAGAAGAGTGTGTGTGTGTGCGCGCGTGCGTGCATGTATGTGTAGTGTTAGTTTGAGTGTGTGACAAGCCTGCAAACACTCTTGGATATCTTAACAGCTTTCGACAAATGTTTCCCAGCTTTTATTTCAAGGGAGGGACACTCACATTTAGATTTGTTACTGCTTAATAAGGTTTAAATACATCTTATCGCCTTCCATACTACCTTTGTAACCTTTGGGATAATGATCTCTCAAAGATTTCTCACACTGTTGAAAAGACTAAACCAGATTTTTTCCAAAGTCTACATAGCTTAGCTCGATTAGCCCCGCATTTCTTTCACAAGTTTAGCCTTGGGCTAACAGTTGGAGTCAAGGGATAAAATTAGCCTATGGCCAAGTCTAATTTCTATTGGACAGATATATTGGGCAGATAAATGGGAGCTTAAGTCACTATGAAATGCATGTGATAGTGATAATGTGTTAAAGAGATTACCAACAGGTGTCCATCTGATGGGATAATATAAATAACTTTGTGCTTTATTGGTGGAGATATATGTTGTATGCTACACAGAGACGTCAGTGTCAAAACATTTGACAGGTACCTGAAGCTAGCAGGGATTCACTGCCTTGCTCAAGGGTAGTTCAGCAAAGCAGTCAAAAATGGACCTTTGGTAAATCGACACAAACCCAATTTCCATAAAAACATTTTTGTGTAGATATCCAATTTGAAGGCCACCTGAGCACAGCCGAACAGACCATAATAGAGAGACAACACCAACAACAGCAGCAGCCATCAACTAACAAGCAGCCACGATCTAAAACATCAACAATATAATAATAATAATAATAATAATCTCTTAACAAATAAAGTAATTAACACTAATTCAAACAATAATCTGTTGCTAAGCTTTAAAGACTAATTTGTAGAAATAATTGAAAGGCCTGTTTTCACCTCCTGCACCAACAATAAAACTCTCTGTAGTCAGCTGGACTGTAGATCATAACTGACCAACCATTTTACTATTTGTGATTCAAATTCCATTTGTCATGTACAGTAATTGCACACATTTCCTTGAATATCTTCTCCTGCAGTGATTATGAGATAACATGGTTCCTGCTTCAGCTTCCAGACCATGGTGGTGAAGCACAGGGGACATTTTGATTTCCGCTCCGGGGTCGAAGTTAATGCTAACTCCGGGGTTAACCCCCTTCATCTTACTCAGCAGGTGTCAGGCAGAACGGGGATTTAGCTTGGGTCTTGAGGAGCATTTATTTCCTGACAAACTGTAGCCTAAACCGTTTATATTCACAATTTACTACCAACTTTACTCTGCTATACTAGTACGCTCAAATCCATTTGGATCCCCTTGGGTATAAGACATATTAACACACAGACCAGAGACCCTACCTGAACTTATTAGACTTAATTGCAACCAGGTCCAACAATTTGTTCTTGGTTCCTCACAGCCTAAGTGCACCTCTAAAGACCTCTAAAGCAGATGCATGCTCTCACAACCACTAGACCTTCTTATACACGTCCATACTTTCCCTTCCACTTCTAAATCCACCACTGCTGTGTGCTAAGATTTCTATTCAAACATGTCTGTATGCAGTATCCAGCCCGTGCCCAAAAGGTGAAAGAACAGTGCAGCTGTGCAGTGTGTATTTGTCTTTTAAGTGTAGGTGTTCAGGCGTGCGTGTGTGTTTGTGCTCCGACAGTACATCAACAGGCTTTCATTTCAAGCTGCGATGTGCTAACCTTATTTTCCAGGCTTTTCTGTAAGGTTTTCAAAGCGGCCGAGACTGCTGGTCAGCTCTCGCCGTCTGGTTGTTTTTGTACCAGTCAATAGAGAGGCCTGTTGTGGCACATTTTACTAAAAAAAAGAGAGAGAGAGAGAGAAAGAAAGAAAAAAAACTGGGCTGTTTGTCGAGCTGAGCTGTAATTGAGGTGCGTTTTGGGTTGTTCACTGCTTCACTGGACCTCATGAACTGGCTGCACAGGAAAAAAACAACAATAATGGATCTTTATGAGTCAGCCATTGCAGAGAGAGAGAGGGAGAAGGAGGAAGAGAGAGGGAGAAGGAAAGACAGAAGGAGGAAGAGGAGAGTGAAGGCGAGAAAGAGTAGTGTCTTCACAGACCCCCATTAGCAGAGTGCCACAGTGGTGTGGCATCCAAACCAACCCGGAGCATTATCTGCCCTACGTTTAAATGAAACGCGCTAACAAAAGGCCTCAGTGCCTCCAGACCCATCACACACACACACACACACACACACACACACACACACACACACACACACACACACACACACACACACACACACACACACAAAAACCCAGGCCAAGCAAGAGAGAATGGAAGAAAGAAAAGAGAGTAAAGGAAGAAAAGGGATGCTGAGAAAAGATGAAGAGAAGCAGAGGCAAATGGAGAGGGGAAGAGGGGGGAGAGAAACGACGAGGGGCGGTATTGAACGCGAGATAGAAATCCCTTTTCTGTGCCCGGCTAGCTATTGTTTGGCTGTGTGGCTCACAAAGGCCATTAGCAGCAAACAGCAGGTTGGGATGAAAATTTAATGAAGGCTTTAATCATTATGAAAGGCCTGGAATATTACTGCTCTCTCTCTCTGTCTCTCTCTCTCTCTCTCTCTCTCTCTCTCTCTCTCTCTCTACACACAAGCTCATGCACTGCTTCCAGCTGGATCAATGACACACACACACACACACACACACACTTCGAGTGTAGGAACATTAACACCAGGAGGGATGTGAACAAGGGGCCAAAGACACAAAATGGGTCAGAAAACGATAAACATCGCGAAACAGAATGAGAAGCTTGACTTAACGAAGGCAAGCCCTGAGCTACACATCACACAGACACACACACACACAATCATGCACACAAGTATGGCTTAAGTTTGAAAGATATAGTTTTGTGTCTGTGGCTAGTGTTGCTCTACTTAGGCTAGATGAATGGAGAGTGGTAGATACTAGGTCAGTATGTGTGTGTGTGCTGTTTAAGCCTTTGGGAGCATGTATGCTTGTGTGTGTGTGTGTGTATTTGCATATGCATTTGTGACAGAATGTGCACGCACACGTGTGTGTTTTATGGGGAGGATTGCATTTGGCTGCATGCATGCAAGGTGTGTGTGTGTGTGTGTGTGTGTGTGTGTGTGTTGGCCTCTAATAAATGACTAGCCATGTTGTCCCCCATGGCCTGGCCCAACCATGCTCCACCGCTCTCCTGCTCTCTCCATTCATCTCCTGTCTTACTCTACCGGCCACCTGCTACCCTGGAGATACACACTCACTCACACACACCAGTACATATATGTGCGGACGCACACACAAACCACTAGCCTGCCACCTTTAATAAATTCTTCAGGAGCGACAGGGAGAACAGCGAAGATAAGAATGCCATGACACTGCCTTGTGTGTGTGCATGTGTTTATGTGTGTGTGTGTGTGTGTGTGTCTGTGTGTGTCTGTGTGTGTGTGTGTGTGTGTGTGTGTGTCTGTCTGGACCCGAGGCGAGAGGCGGCCAGGGCGAGCGGCTCGTGCTGGAGTGTGTGTGTGTGTCATTACGTGGAATAATGAGAGCAGAGTGCAGAGCGTTGCGGGAGGCGCGGGGTCGAGAGGAGAGCCGGAGCTAAAACCCAAGAGAGATGGCTGCACAAGTGCACACATGCACACACACATACCTGTACAGATGAACACACACACACACACCTGGACAGTTCCCTTGGACTTGCCATTTAACCCCTTGTGACCCCTGTGCCACAGAGCAAGGCCTAGTGATAATCTATTAGCCCAGCAGTGGGAAAACAGACCTGCGCCTAAGAAAGACAGACAGACAGACAGACAGACAGACAGACAGACAGACAGACAGACAGACACAGATAGATAGATAGATAGAATGAGATTATAAACTACAAAATGGAAGAGAAGAAAAACGAGGGGAATTAAAAGGAGAAACATCACTAAATGGGGCACAGATGTTCCTCTCGGCCCCTGGAGTGGTGCCTCCCCTGCCCTGGACTTTCACCAGACACTCAGCCTCATTCCTCCTCTCCTCTCTTCTCCTCTCTTCTCCTGTCCTCTTGCTCCTTCCCTCTCTCTATGGCAGCTTTGACTGTAAGTGGCTCACATTAAGTGCCAGCTGAGCTCCATCACTGGACCCGTCTGTTGACCCTCTGCTACCCCAGCTACAGCTACCCGTCGCTGGGGCTCCATGGCCTCTGGGACTTTTCATGTTTTCTCTTTTTCTAGTGTAACCTCTGCTGTAAACAGGAATAAACACAACCTTGAGACGTAGCATTTGGTCTAAATGATGTGGGGCAGTGTGCAGTTCACGATGCATTTATGTTTTAATGACGCATCACTTCACATGCAGAAAAAAGTTTTTTAAGCTCAGAGTGTCAACGCTTTTTAACCTATGATTTAAATTGTTATTGATCCAGCAGCAATTTAAAATGCATTAATGTCATCACAGTTCCTTTTTTTAATGCCTGATTGATTTATTTCTTTTTCTTTATTTATTATGACACATATTTTGTAAACTGACATCCTGTTTGACAAAATGATTGCCACTGCTATGTGAACAATTTTACACTGAGCTCGATGATGAGGCTTTGGTGGTCACTTGTGGTGGCGTTGTCTGGGGCAACAAATGGCAATACTCTTGTTTTACTGAGCCAGGGTGCAGCTCTTGGGT